CCTACAAACTCAGTGTGAAGACCAGCTAAACTTCAGGTTAGCCACTACTGCTCCTGCACAAAGTGTAGGCCGACACACACAGAATCTCGAATACACCATTGAGACGACGAGTCACACCGCCTACAACGCCTCACAATGTAGTCGTCTCACTCGTCACTAGTCAAGCCTGAATGATATCGATGTCACACTGACCACTCCACTGAAACATACACGAATCCACTGACTTTCTATCATAGACAGTGAGTAAATAGCATCACCCTCAGAAGAATAAGCTTACTCAAGTGACAACTGCATGTCTGCGTGTTCCACAATCTGATAGACTTATTTCACGAGAACTTATCAAGCTGACTGGCCGTGCAAAGATGACTAGGTGAAGCGGCGTGTGAAGCCATCCATGGCTGACTGAATGAAAGTCGAGTGTTTATTGCAACAAGCCAGCTACTATGAGTCACTTATCTCGATTACAGCTAATAGCGTCACTGTCTTCTCAAGGAGTGATTGAGAAGAGGAGTGATTTCCAAGTGGCTATGCAGCTCACAATCGGTCCTACCGTCAAGCCAATGACTCATTCGAAACAAGTGAACTCGATAGATATCATGAGAGTAGTAGTACTACTAGTGGGAGGAATCGCAAGCACAACTCACATGTACAGGCTCATCAAAGTCTCGTATTCACGTACATCTGTGGAATGTTCCACGTTGATTTCCTTGGCAGGCAGTCAGTCGTTGAGTGTGGGATTCAGTTTTTGATTGACTCAGTGAGTGACTGAGTGAGTGGCCGTTTGAGCGAGTTATTGATTGAGTCATTGAGTGAGTGAATGACTGTTTGCCTGAGTGAATGTTTGCGTGAGAGTCTTTGAGTTTGTTATGCAGACGGCGAGATAACCAGCCGAACAGCCGGCCAGACACTTTGTGGAGCGTATTTCTTCACCCTACAAACTCAGTGTGAAGACCAGCTAAACTTCAGGTTAGCCACTACTGCTCCTGCACAAAGTGTAGGCCGACACACACAGAATCTCGAATACACCATTGAGACGACGAGTCACACCGCCTACAACGCCTCACAATGTAGTCGTCTCACTCGTCAGTAGTCAAGCCTGAATGATATCGATGTCACACTGACCACTCCACTGAAACATACACGAATCCACTGACTTTCTATCATAGACAGTGAGTAAATAGCATCACCCTCAGAAGAATAAGCTTACTCAAGTGACAACTGCATGTCTGCGTGTTCGACAATCTGATAGACTTATTTCACGAGAACTTATCAAGCTGACTGGCCGTGCAAAGATGACTAGGTGAAGCGGCGTGTGAAGCCATCCATGGCTGACTGAATGAAAGTCGAGTGTTTATTGCAACAAGCCAGCTACTATGAGTCACTTATCTCGATTACAGCTAATAGCGTCACTGTCTTCTCAAGGAGTGATTGAGAAGAGGAGTGATTTCCAAGTGGGTATGCAGCTCACAATCGGTCCTACCGTCAAGCCAATGACTCATTTGAAACAAGTGAACTCGATAGATATCATGAGAGTAGTAGTACTAGTGGGAGGAATCGCAAGCACAACTCACATGTACAGGCTCATCAAAGTCTCGTATTCACGTACATCTGTGGAATGTTCCAGGTTGATTTCCTTGGCAGGCAGTCAGTCAGTCGTTGAGTGTGGGATTCAGTTTTTGATTGACTCAGTGAGTGACTGAGTGAGTGGCCGTTTGAGCGAGTTATTGATTGAGTCATTGAGTGAGTGAATGACTGTTTGCCTGAGTGAATGTTTGCGTGAGAGTCTTTGAGTTTGTTATGCAGACGGCGAGATAACCAGCCCAACAGCCGGCCAGACACTTTGTGGAGCGTATTTCTTCACCCTACAAACTCAGTGTGAAGACCAGCTAAACATCAGGTTAGCCACTACTGCTCCTGCACAAAGTGTAGGCCGACACACACAGAATCTCGAATACACCATTGAGACGACGAGTCACACCGCCTACAACGCCTCACAATGTAGTCGTCTCACTCCTCACTAGTCAAGCCTGAATGATATCGATGTCACACTGACCACTCCACTGAAACATACACGAATCCACTGACTTTCTATCATAGACAGTGAGTAAATAGCATCACCCTCAGAAGAATAAGCTTACTCAAGTGACAACTGCATGTCTGCGTGTTCCACAATCTGATAGACTTATTTCACGAGAACTTATCAAGCTGACTGGCCGTGCAAAGATGACTAGGTGAAGCGGCGTGTGAAGCCATCCATGGCTGACTGAATGAAAGTCGAGTGTTCATTGCAACAAGCCAGCTACTATGAGTCACTTATCTCGATTACAGCTAATAGCGTCACTGTCTTCTCAAGGAGTGATTGAGAAGAGGAGTGATTTCCAAGTGGCTATGCAGCTCACAATCGGTCCTACCGTCAAGCCAATGACTCATTCGAAACAAGTGAACTCGATAGATATCATGAGAGTAGTAGTACTAGTAGTGGGAGGAATCGCAAGCACAACTCACATGTACAGGCTCATCAAAGTCTCGTATTCACGTACATCTGTGGAATGTTCCACGTTGATTTCCTTGGCAGGCAGTCAGTCAGTCGTTGAGTGTGGGATTCAGTTTTGGATTGACTCAGTGAGTGACTGAGTGAGTGGCCGTTTGAGCGAGTTATTGATTGAGTCATTGAGTGAGTGAATGACTGTTTGCCTGAGTGAATGTTTGCGTGAGAGTCTTTGAGTTTGTTATGCAGACGGCGAGATAACCAGCCCAACAGCCGGCCAGACACTTTGTGGAGCGTATTTCTTCACCCTACAAACTCAGTGTGAAGACCAGCTAAACTTCAGCTTAGCCACTACTGCTCCTGCACAAAGTGTAGGCCGACACACACAGAATCTCGAATACACCATTGAGACGACGAGTCACACCGCCTACAACGCCTCACAATGTAGTCGTCTCACTCGTCAGTAGTCAAGCCTGAATGATATCGATGTCACACTGACCACTCCACTGAAACATACACGAATCCACTGACTTTCTATCATAGACAGTGAGTAAATAGCATCACCCTCAGAAGAATAAGCTTACTCAAGTGACAACTGCATGTCTGCGTGTTCCACAATCTGATAGACTTATTTCACGAGAACTTATCAAGCTGACTGGCCGTGCAAAGATGACTAGGTGAAGCGGCGTGTGAAGCCATCCATGGCTGACTGAATGAAAGTCGAGTGTTTATTGCAACAAGCCAGCTACTATGAGTCACTTATCTCGATTACAGCTAATAGCGTCACTGTCTTCTCAAGGAGTGATTGAGAAGAGGAGTGATTTCCAAGTGGCTATGCAGCTGACAATCGGTCCTACCGTCAAGCCAATGACTCATTCGAAACAAGTGAACTGGATAGATATCATGAGAGTAGTAGTACTAGTGGAGGGAGGAATCGCAAGCACAACTCACATGTACAGGCTCATCAAAGTCTCGTATTCACGTACATCTGTGGAATGTTCCACGTTGATTTCCTTGGCAGGCAGTCAGTCAGTCGTTGAGTGTGGGATTCAGTTTTCGATTGACTCAGTGAGTGACTGAGTGAGTGGCCGTTTGAGCGAGTTATTGATTGAGTCATTGAGTGAGTGAATGACTGTTTGCCTGAGTGAATGTTTGCGTGAGAGTCTTTGAGTTTGTTATGCAGACGGCGAGATAACCAGCCCAACAGCCGGCCAGACACTTTGTGGAGCGTATTTCTTCACCCTACAAACTCAGTGTGAAGACCAGCTAAACTTCAGGTTAGCCACTACTGCTCCTGCACAAAGTGTAGGCCGACACACACAGAATCTCGAATACACCATTGAGACGACGAGTCACACCGCCTACAACGCCTCACAATGTAGTCGTCTCACTCGTCAGTAGTCAAGCCTGAATGATATCGATGTCACACTGACCACTCCACTGAAACATACACGAATCCACTGACTTTCTATCATAGACAGTGAGTAAATAGCATCACCCTCAGAAGAATAAGCTTACTCAAGTGACAACTGCATGTCTGCGTGTTCCACAATCTGATAGACTTATTTCACGAGAACTTATCAAGCTGACTGGCCGTGCAAAGATGACTAGGTGAAGCGGCGTGTGAAGCCATCCATGGCTGACTGAATGAAAGTCGAGTGTTTATTGCAACAAGCCAGCTACTATGAGTCACTTATCTCGATTACAGCTAATAGCGTCACTGTCTTCTCAAGGAGTGATTGAGAAGAGGAGTGATTTCCAAGTGGGTATGCAGCTCACAATCGGTCCTACCGTCAAGCCAATGACTCATTTGAAACAAGTGAACTCGATAGATATCATGAGAGTAGTAGTACTAGTGGGAGGAATCGCAAGCACAACTCACATGTACAGGCTCATTAAATTCGTGTATTCGTGTGCACCTTTCGAATCTTCTACGTTCACCTACTAGGCAGGCAGGAGTCATTGAGTGAATCTGTCAGACTGTCAGTGAGTTAGTCAGTGTCTGAGTGAGTAATCGATTGATTAATTGAGTTACATTGTGAATCAGTGAGTGAAGGACTGCTTTTGTGAGCGAATGTTCGCGTGAAAGAGTTAATTGGAATCCCTAGACTGTTTTCGCTTGTTTCTCCGATTGTGTTCTGTTTTGTTGTGATGTTTTGGGAAGTTGATTATTCAGTTTTGTTAGAGCAGTCATAACTTAAAGCAGATTACGTAGGTGTTTATTTTAAAACGTCATACATATCTGAGGCCTATTTCCCACATATTTCTGCTGTAGCGTTAACTGTTCTTGTTGTGATTTGTTCGTCTTATTTGATATTTTCATTGCCTGCAGTGATGAATGTTTCCTATCATAATGCCTTCGAGTTTTACCAGCCAAAGTTATTGCATTCTAATTTCTAAGCGCGTTTCCTAGATTATTTAAACTGCATTCAGTTAACCCCAATGTGTAAACACTACTTAAAAGCAGCATGGGTACATAATTTACAAGACAAGCAAAATAGAAGACTTTAGATTATGATTCAAGTGCTATATTAGTAAGTTAATGAAGATAAACTATATTATTAACTGTAGACAACTCAGTTTCTGCAAGCATCGAATCGTTTAGCTACATCATTCCAATTTATAATATCCCAGATAGCTTTAACATAGTCTGGACGCACGTTTTTATACTGAAGATAGTATGCATGTTCCCAAACATCAATTCCAAGTAGGGGTTTCAAACCTGTAGGTTTTAATATTTATAAAATTAATGATTAGCTTGTTAATCAATACTCATTTAAAAAAGTATATGTAAGGTCTGTAACGGCTTACCCATTAAAGAGCAATTCAAAATGTACAATAAGTCCAATTTTTTTAAACGGCAGTATACTTTACTGAAAACTCAGTTGATGATTTGTCAATCGTTCTATAATTCCACCGTAAATTCTGGGCAATTTCATATTTCAACTATATAAAAGTGGAAATATTATACTATCGACTTAATAACCAAGCCAACATTGTCATTTTTAGAATTGATGATTAGTTATCTATGACTAACGAGAATGCTTGCTGGCCAAGCAATTGGTTTGGTTCAATTCTTGGCTAACACAGTCCTTAACCTCTCCTAGACGGTAGCAAATCCGTAAAAGGTAGAAGGTGGGGTGTGAGGTTAGTAACCTTACCCCCAGAACACTACTGCTGTCGAAAATCTAAAGCTGGGTGCCCTAGAAAGGAGTGGAGAAAAAATTACACTTCATGATTGTATAACCACAGCTGCACACAACAACACTACTGTGTATATTTTCCGACCGAGTTTTTTTCACTGGCTGTTATTTAGAACTGAGAAGTCAGTGGACTTCGTCTCAGTGACATAACTGTCAATTTGTTCGCCTCTTAATCTAAAGGTCCTGGGTTTCACCCCCGATGGCTTCACGGCTGTGTACTGATGACGACTCCCAACCTGGAAGGAAATAGCTATCCCGTACTCTTTGGTTCTCATTGGTCCTCCATTTGATGTTGGTTAGTGATCTGTCCTTATCTCATCAAGTAGAATTACTAAAGTCGTGATAGTACTCACTAAAAAATAGGAAGTAGGCAAATATGATGAATTGTCATATTTTTCAACAATATCATTAATTTCTGTACCAGTGAGTAATCTGAAATAATAATTCTACAGAAGCGGAGAAGTTAACTCTTTTTCGTGTAAAGTACACATATTTCCGTGTTTAATTTTCTTTTAACAGTTGAACCAGTGACACATTAACTGTGCTTAGGATATTGATTTTCCTCATTTAGAGTAACCACATCACTGAATGGATAATGTATAAGTTTGTATTATCATTTGGAAAATATGTACTCAACCTTAAAATGATGCGAACAATAACTGCGATATAATTATTTGTACAATACGTAATTTTAAGTTGGAAATTACCTGTAGTTCCTTCAAGAGGATCTTGGTTAGCACAAGTGGCTATTTGTAAATGTTTTGTGGCAGGATTGTATCCTAACCAGCCCCAACCAGAACCTTGAATGGCAATAGTGGCAGCAGAGAGTTTGGACTTGAAATTGTCGAAGGATCCGAACTCCTCATTAATAGCATTGGCCAGACTGCCAGTGGGTACTCCACCGCCTTTCGCACTAAGGTTATGCCAAAAGATGCTGTGGTTGATATGTCCACCGCCATTGAAGCGGAGTGACGGCTAATAAGAAACATTGAAATACAACATAAAACAGGCGAGTTCCAGTCGAATAAATTAGTCTTGATGACTATGATTATAAGCTCTACTAGGCAGAAAAGTAAACCGGGAAAATTGGGCGGTTATCCAGAGGAATTATTCCAAATATTGTATTAATCAAGTTATCACAGGTCATTACCAGAAATAAATCTTACAGCCCCTAGTCACCAACTTTCTTTAGCTCAAAAACCTAAGCAAAAGTTACCAATATGGTCAAAATATATTTCATGGCTTCTGCATTTTGCTCAGAATAACAAAGGAACATTGGAGTTGATGGAAACCGACCTTCAACATAGAAATGCTGCAGCAATAAGTACGGCATACACTAAAACTTATGATGCCATATAATATATAGTCGTAACCTACAAGTCAGAATCTAAGCACAATCTTTCTCTTTGCTAATATAGATAAAGTAAACAAAAACTTCAGCTATGCAAATAATTATCGACAAACTGAAGATGCTTGTCCACAACATATGAGAATCATGTGGAAAAGCACAACTTTGGCATTTCATACATGGATTTATTTGACTCAGTAAGAACTCTCCGGATTATAATCAGTTACTCAAAATGACACTACAAAATTAAATCGCTCTGACATAAGACAGGCAATGTTAGCCGACGTAAGGGCGGGATGAAAAAGAATTAGAAAAATTAAAATTTAGTTCAAGACCATAAAATGTATTTGGTGAGTGACCAATCTACAAATACTATGCGCTAAGTAGGAAATAGTAAGAGCAGTTGACCATGAAATAAAAAATGTTAAATATATGTGAAGTCATACAATGCGGGAAGATATATCACCAATAAAAAATCAGGATAGTTTATTAATGTCTATGAGTGAAAAGTGTAGTGGTGCTTGGAGAATGATGGAGTGGACGATATGACTGAACCACAGAGATAGTTGAAACGGTATATGGATGAGGAACTAAGATTGCGTAAAACATCTTTCAATTTTGGACAAACACTGGATGGCTATTAAGGAATAGGAATATATGTCCAGAGTAAGAAGTCAGTCATATTGCTCTGGTTAGACGTCGTGTCTACAATTCCACAGAGATAATCCAGACTTTTATGCGCTATTCAAACAACCACTGGTGAAGAATGCGTCTAGCGCGGCAAGATACAAAATGAAGTTAAGGTAGACAGTGACGCATTCTTGAGTGAATTACGATAGCTAACCACAGGCTTTCAACCGGCACGCAGAATCCTAATGAAGAATCTAAAAGTACTCAAAACCCTTAAGTGAACACATGTTGAATGTGCGAAACTGTTTTACTTTGATGTCAGCCACTACATGTCTGACTTCAGATCCTTACCGTCAACAAGTCCGAAATCAACACAACCTGTTGAGATCAAAACACAACGGCAATATTGGTAATTTTCATATTGTCTCTAACTGATGGGACACAGAAGTTACATGTATGTATACTAGGTTTTTCACTCTAGGTAACCTTAACTCACCTTATGCGTTAATAAAGGTATTTGTTTATATCCGGAACACGTCGCAGCTTCCTTATCCCTGGCATGTTGAATACCAACAAGCTTTGCTGTACATCTTTCACCTTCCACTGCCCCTCACTGAGCAGCCAGCAGTGTGAATACCATGAATAATGGTATGTCTTTTATCTGGTACACTAGTGCTTATGATACAATGAAACCCTCTTTCCATTTAATTTGGAACTCACTCCAAGGGACCATTGACATTCTGACCACTGTCAGGTCTATTTTAGGCTCATTAAAAACCTTTCTCGGTACTTCCAGCTGTAGATGGGAAGTAGCACAAGTCAACCCTTGACATAAATGTCACTTTTGGGTCTTGTCCGAACTAATTAAGTAAAGGGGGATGTACCAGATGAGATCAGTCCAGATACATTGACTCTCTTAATACCTTACCACGTGTGTTCATGAATATGCACACAAAAAACACAGGTCAGTTACACAGAAGTTAAGAGAAAAATTAGGAAATGATTCAATATGATGTGGTTCAAGCAAGAATTAACAAAGGCATAGATAAACCCAACCTGAAGTGATATCATCTTGGAAATATTTTTCTCAGCAATGGCTTCGGCAAGTTGCTCCTCTGCAATATTCAGATTATTAACATAGGCTGCATGGTGCTTTGAATGATGTATTTGCATAATTTCACCCGAAATGACCGGCTCCAAAGCATTTGCTTCATATGGCAACGGCGGTAACGTGTGTTTATACCGCAAAGTACCAGTCTGTATTAGTTGCGACCTTGGAGAGACTATAGTGGACACCAAAGAACGCCAAAACATGCCTACAGGTTCAAGAAATATGACCTTCAAATTACAAAACCCTCGTACGTACAATATCCAATACTGTTTTACGAGTGTAAACCAATTTAGCTTCTTTGTGTCCGCTTCTTCTGGTTTTTGGTTAACTTCTGTGGCCACTCAACCTTCATAGTCTTGGTTGACCGCAAAAGGGATGGGATGGGATTGATTATATGAGGTGTAAAGACAGTGTCACTACTATGAATGCAGCTGGACCTCTCTACCCTTAGACGTCTGGTGTAGCCGAAAAGACAGATAACAAGAATAGTAATGGCACATATAATTATTGTGGATTGTGTAGACTTATGAAAGAAAAGTAAAAACAGACAGCCTACGAAAATTTGAAATTGATATATGCATGTGGTATATGTATCGATAATGAAGGTGTAAGAGGAGTAATAGTTGAAGAAGAGTATGGAAAGAGAGAATGGCAAGAATGAAAAGGTCAGTTTGGGTGCATACTCACTGAAAGTTTGTGGATTTAAAGGAGATAGGCTGTTTGGATGCAGTCCTTGTATCGTTGCACGATTGTCCAGACTTCGTTTAAAGCTCTCCATGGACTGTGTCGTAGCTGCCTCTGCCGATTAAGAGTTCCACGGACGGCATACTCTCAGTGAAAAGAAATGGGGAAGCACTCAAGTCATTGTCTTCCGGTGAGCTATCATTCGTGGATTCCCACGAAAGCGCCCATAAGTACTTAATGGTAGAACATCTTTGTTTGGGGGGTTCCAGTCATATGTAATCCAAAAGAAAGTAATCAACTCCCACCTAAGCCAACGGTAACTGAGTGCGAAGAGACCTGATCGCCTCAGCTATTCGTTATTTGGTTGATTCCCGAGAACAATCACCCAAATTGTCACCCGTTCTGACTTTTTACTCAAGGTAAGCATCAATTCTAAACAGCTGGGGAGCAGTTATGTTGTGCACTTCAGACTGTGGTCTAAGGTACTGTCAATGTGTTGACTGAATGAATGCATACTCCCTCACTGCATCGTCCGTGCGATTAACACTTGTGTCCATTCTTCCTGTTAGAACTATACGTAAGTTGTGGCTCAACGTTGTCCAGGACAAACTTTCGTTGCACATGGTTTAACTTGCATTCTGAAGCCTACAGGTGCGAAACTACATTACTTTTGGGTTGAAAGCCCTGCAACTGATCATCATCCAATCCTCCAGAATTTTTAGGTCTGCCTGCAACCCATCTGAGTCTTTTGAGCACTTTACTGCCCTCAAAATCTTCACGTCGTCAGCGTAAAGAAGAGCCGGACAGTTCAGACAGCACGGTAGGTCATTGAGAGGGATCGAATACATCAGTGGCTCTATGGTAGAACCCCGCTATACGGTGACAAGCGGTGTCAGGATGATCGGACATGATTGAACTTGGCGTGGAATTTCCTTTCATCTGGGTGGCCTTCAGGCCATGACTGAAGCGATCAACTTATATCTGCCTGACTAATTTTTTCATAGGGTCATGGTGTACTGTGTCAGAGGCATTCTCAAAGTCTAGGAAGGTCACACGAAGTGGAACATTCATATCCCAGCATGATGCGTAATCATTACAAGCTGATAGCAGGTTTGTCACATAGGACGTACCTCTCCTGAAACCATGTATTTCTTCATGGAATGTAATAGCCCTGTCTGGGTGTCCCCTGATGTGATCACCAGTCAGACTTTCCAGTACTTACGATACAACTTGAATTAGTGCTACTTGTCCATAACTCCTGGCACTTTGTATATCGCACCATTGAAAATAACAGAATAGACGGCGCTCTTCCATTCTCTTGTCAGTTTCCCGGAACCTACTGAAACAGGTCCCACAAAAACCTACAGAAAAGTTGATTGCACTTTTTCGGAACAGATAGCCGAATGTCTTCAGAACCCAAGGGGCTTTCCAGATGTGAGTTCCTGTAACTTGCCTAGTACCACTGCAGGGTTTATTTGAAGTATAATAATGATAATTTGCTTTATTCAAAAACAGTACTTGTGATACAGAATGGAATTCTCAGCATTTTTACTGCAGTATTGCATCCAGTTAGTACATTATCAATAAATAAAATTTTACATAGATTAAGGTAATCACAGTTCATTATGATAACAACATGTTGGCATATCGGTAGCAAAGCTAAAATTGGACAGAGTGTTTGAAGGCGTTAGAAAAGTAGATGCTAGCATATTTACTGGCGTAAGCGGTAACAGAAAGGTCGAGATATAGAGTGTAAAAGAACGGAGAAGAATGTTTTAAATAGAGTTTGTAAGGAAGAGAGAAACAAAGCAGCACATAACAACAACAAAAAAGAGAAAAGGAAAAGAAAGAACACGTTGGACCTATAAATGATATGAGTTGAAAAGACAAGATCCAGTTGTTTTACTGACTATTTAGTCTACATTGATAGGAAAATATATAATATATTATATTAATACAAGGGGTGAGTTGTGAATGAAGAGGGTGGTGTGAATTAGATAAAATGGATTTAGCCCATTTTTCACATGAGTCCATGTGCCTGTCGTGTCAACCAGAATATTAACAAGCTGGTTAAGTGGCACGTTGCTTACCCTGCTGACAGCCTTTAACATCCTGCGTAATATGTTATAGTCTTTCTTCAGTAGCCCGGGAAAAACTAAGGGGGAACAATAGAGAATAATAGGCAGAATGCGAAAGTTAACGAATTGTAGGAGTAAGAGTTGAGTTATACCAGAATGTTTTAACTTTTTGATGTAGAAGGTAAGACGGAATACTTTCTTAGAAATCACCAAGACGACCAGGAGAGATCAGCGGATAGAATGACGCCAAGATATTTAATTTCCGACTTGGTTTCTATTTCAGTGCCATCTATGTTGCACACCTCATGAGTGCTAAGTAGTTTTTTTAGGTCAGATTTATGCCTAAAGGTGAAATTGACTGTTTGGCATTTGGAGGGGGTTAAGGTAAGACCGTTTTCCTTGGAACACTGGCTGATTTCTGATAGAAAGTCATTTAGTTTAGAGCAGTCACTTTGACATTTGGTAGGCAAAGATACAGTCAGCTCGTCAGCGTATTTGACAAAATCAATGTCATTTGAAGATGGTAATTCATGTAGAAAGAAAGAAAAGAGAAGTGGGGAGAGTACAGCACCTTGGGGGACACCAGCTCTAGTGAGCACATCAGAGGATGATTTACCTTTGTATACAGTGTACTGCATTCTGTTAGAGAAGTAGGAATGCAGCCAGTTAGTGACCAAGGACTCAGTTTTTGTCAAAGAGAGCTTATTTAGCAAGAGACATCTAGGTACAGAGTCGAAAGCAGAAGTGAATTTGAGAAAGGTACAGTGGACGTATTTGGCACCTTTATCTAATGATGAGACGATGTTGTTGTGTAAGACGGCTGCAGCGTCTAAAGTGCTCCCACCCTGTCTATATGCTAATTGTTTGAGGTCTTCGAAGCTTTTAAGGGAGGGTTCAAGTTTAAGAAGTACTAGTTTTTCCATAAGCTTTAGAAACGGGGAAGTAATGGCAATGGGTCTGAACTTTACGTTCTTGCTATTGCCAGGTTTCGGGGCAGTGACTATTTTAATGTCTTTCCATGCAACAGGTACATTTTTGGAGAAGGAAGCATTTAGGATGTTAGTTAGTGGAGAACATAAAGAATCTGCACATTGTTTTAGAACATATGCAGGTACACCACCAGCGCCAAGGCTATGTGAGGGCTTAAGCGTTTTAAGACATTTGGGAACATCGAGAGTAATAAAGTCATGAAAGTTTTCAACTACATGATTGGCAACATTAGAAGTAGTTATAGTAGAAGGACAGCGTATAAAAGACTGATTAAGAGCATTAACATTATTGCCAGTAATTCCATTGAAAACTTTCCACATGCTGATAGAAGATTTGCATGATAGAAGTGTATGGTTATATATAGCATTATGATTTTTGATTTCAGATTTCATGAGAACATTATTCCTCTAAAGTTCTAACTTATCCTTAGATTTATATAATGTTTATTTTTGCCTGCGTAGTTGTTTGAGACGAGGAGACGAGAAGCGGTCGAAGCGTTTGAATAGTGTTTGTTTGGGACAGCATATATCAAGGCAGAACTTAAGATAACCCGTCATATTGGCGATTGTGTCATCTAATGTACTTTCATAGAATAAATCCCAGTTAGTATTTTTTTAACATGCACCTTAGATTGAGTAAGTTGTCAGATGTATAACATCTTTGTTATGCTTTCATAGACAGGTGTGAGAAGATTTCAATATGTGTTTTGCTGTATATTTTTGATAAACACGAACAATGCAGTGATCAGAGTTAAGTATCGGTGCACATTTACGTCCTTCGTCATTTGTAAAAACCAAGTCGAGTGCGTAGCGGTAAATAGTTCTCCAAAATTACTGACCACAGCAATCATCACTGAACATTGGATGCTCACCCTCACTGTTTAAGTCAACTTGTTTAGCTGAAGGCTTCCGGTCAAGCATCCATGCCATTTGGTACTCCGTCGTGTCACGTGCGTACACAACCACTAGCCAGCTAAGCATTCACTTCAGCCCGCGATTTGGTCCCGAAATATATCTCGTATTTTGGACGACCAATCTTGCCTTTTGCTTTGTCTTTGGTACACGAGAAACGAATACTATAGAAGTTGTTGGTATAAGATCTTGCGTCAGTATACCCTGTACAATTCGCGAACGTCGATACCGTCAGCCTCCAAAATTGTTTTGTCAAGTCGAGTGGGAAATTTGACTATGTTTGTGTAACCGATTGCTTCAAGGATGGAGGAATCTGAGGAGTTGAAATCCCCAGTAATAACAGATAGAGAGTTGTCGAAGTTGACAGTGGCAATCATGGTGAATTCTTCAGCAAAATTTGAAAGATCAGATAGTGACCAACTGGGAGAAATGTACGTGTTTGTAACAAAGATATGTTTATATTTGGGGAGATGTTTGGGACGATATTTGACTGTAATACAGTCTATGAAGTCATTTGAGAATGAGAAGCAGACATTATTTGAAATAGACCATTTGGAGTGAATAAAAGTTACAACGCCTTCACCATTTTTGTTATTTCAACATTTA